TTCAGCCTCCACAAGAGAAGGCTGAGGGGGGATCTTGTGGCCTGTTATAAACTAGTCAGGGGGGACCAGCAGGCATTGGGGGAGTCCCTGTTCCCCTGAGCACTGCCAGGAGTGACTAGAAATAATGGTCACAAGCTGGCAGAGGGTAGATTTAGGCTAGACATCAGGAGGCGCTATTTCACTGTCAGGGTGGCTAGGATCTGGAACCAACTTCCAAGAGAAGTGGTGCTGGCTCCTACCCTGGGGGTCTTTAAGACAAGGCTAGACAATCACCTTGCTGGGGTCATTTGACCCCAGTACTCTTTCCTGCCATGGCAGGGGGTGGGACTTGATGATCTGCTCAGGTCCCTTCTGACCCTAGAAACTATGAAACCCCTGTCACAGGAGTGACATGCAGGGTTTGGTCAGTGAGATGGGCCTTGGCCAGAATACAAGCTTCTCTGTTGCCCCTCAGCTTCTAGAAACCTCTTGGAGGATATTGCAGACAGACATGATCTACAGCACCCCTGGTCTGCTCTAAGTTATGTAAGGGAACAGGTGAGTGGAGTTTTGGAGGAAGGAAATAGAACAGTAGTGTGAAAAAGCCTTTTTTTCCTGATACCCCAGCTTGAAATATCATCCATGAGAACATCATAGCAGTAATTTGACTTTGTCATGGTCCCTCCCACATTTCTTCAGTTCATAGCCCTGATCTGGAATTTATAGCTCTTTCAGGGATCTTCTGTATGAAACCATGTGTAGGTGGGAAGTTGATGTGGTAGCACCCAAAGCACATGGCCCAAAAACTTGCTGATGGCTTTTTCAGGCAGTTGGGGAAGCAAGCTTATCAGTAAAGACACTATGAGATCATGTGACAGGCAGGTGTTTATTTGAGAAGACCAAGGTAAGCATGTTTTTCCTCAAAGCCAGAAATAACACTGCTCTGCACCAAGATAGTAAAGAGTCTCTTGTCAGTGTTCCTTTGATTCCATAATGCATTTGGATTTGCAGGCTGAGGGATAAAATGACTCCAGGTTTTTCCATAATTTCGGTATTAACTGGGCAAAATAACAGCTGGAAATCTTATGCAGTTGGCTACCTCTGGTGTGGTAGATCTGATGCATCTCCTGTCATTCCTGTCACAGGGGTGACATGCAGGATTTGGTCAGCTACAGCTTGTAAGAACTGAATGGTAGTTTCTTCAGGTTTTTATGTTCAAAGTGAAATCTATGATGTAAAACAAAAGAAAGGAAGGTTGCAGAATTATCACTAATTGCAATGTGGGGTTTATCTTCTGTGTCACAAAAAGGTAACCTCAGCCCTTAA